ACAGGAAGTGGGCATTCAATAACACAAATCCTAAAGAAGACTCATGCTAAATTCTGCAAAACCCCCAAAGAAAAGCAAAGATATGTGGGGGCGGGGGCTTCTGAATTTTTTCCCTGGCGACAGGGCTTTCAAATGCCCTTTTTACTAAACATCAAAAGGTTACCTTTTGCAATTTCAGGAATTACCCCAAACAGATAACTAATATGTCTGGCAATACAGGATGTCATTACCAGTACCTGTTCAACACCTGGAAATTTTACTCATGTTTTCCTGGTACAAAAGCCATCTGGGAAACACTACATGATAATAAATGTTGAGGTTGTCAATAAAGTTTCTTGTTTAAAAGAAGTTTTTGAATGGAAAGTATGTAATCTGTCATTAATATTTTTTTGAAAGCGATATTCGTAATCTTGATAGATCGTCGGGATGCACACTTACACATACCCATCCACCCACTGCAGCATAAATTTCTAAGGTTTACAGTTCATTGTCTAGAGGTTCTGAGAAGCTGGAAGTTCAGCACTTTTTTTTTGGGCCCCAGATATTTACGAAGATTATGGTAAAGGCCATGGTGCGGTTTGTCTTCACGAAATCCCACTAAGATAGCCCATAGATGCGTAATTTTTTTTTTCCATTCGAATAGAGGGCTCGAACGGGAAAAGAAAAAAAACTTGATTCCCCCATCCAGATAAAGTGCAGAATCCTCCCTGCTGAGGTATTGTATTCTGACAGCAGGGAGACTTCCCTGCCATCAGAATACACTGATCAGTGCTGCCAGCTATAGCCAGCGTTGCTGACTAAGCAGGGAAAATCTGACAAGGTGGTTGTACAGAGGTTGATTGGTAGGTCGACTTCTGCACAACTTCTTTACCCATACACTGATAAAACTTCAGCTGGTCCCAGCTGAACCAGACAAATTTTGATCCATCTAAGGCTGGCTTAATACCATATCTGCCCGATATTCTGATCTTTGTTTTCCCCGAAATCTCCAATTGACTCAAAATCATTGCACTATATCATTAGGTTGTATAGTGAACCTAGGAAAATCTTGTTTGATTATCTCCCAATCCATTTTTGGGAGGTTACCTAAAAGACCTAAGCTGGCCATACACTGATCAAAATTTGGCTTGCCCAGCAGGACTGAGCTCCCCTGCTTGGTAGAAGTTGATTGTATAAAAGACCTCTGTCAAAGGGATGTGTAGGAAACAGGGGTGGACTCACAACTCATGGGGTCCCCGGGCAATAGGGGATCATGGGGCCCCTGTGTCCTTGCCCACAATCAAAGCACACCCAGTGCAGTGCCAGAGTACTGAAATGGTCAGTCCGCCCCTGGTAGGAAATAATCAGCAGCTGCAGCCACTGACCTATGTATTCTGACAGCGGTGGGTGCAGCTGTCAAAATACAATTGGCAGGGAGTATTTCCCCATCCACCTCATTTTTTTGGGTAAAGATATCTATTAGCTAGTAGACTGAACAACCACAACAAAAAAAACCTAACATTGCATGGCCAGCCTACGTTGTACAAAAGATATCTGCATAACAGAAGTAAAAGCAACTCCTTCACTGACCCTAGATCCAGTAATTGATTTGTTAGGCCTCATAAAATTACCCATAACAGCAGTCACGATGGCTCTTCATTTCACTTCACTGCAGAAATTTACAGCGAGATCTCTCAATATCTTGGGATCACAAACAGAGCTCATTAGATTTCTGAACTCCACTTACCCCCAAGGTGGTTCAGAGCCAAGCACGGTGAGAAGATGTGAGCAATTTAGCAAGGGAGGCCTTAGGTCTAGAGATATTAATTCAATATTACGTCTGATGGAAGCGCTTGGGACTGGGGTGCTCATGCCATGCCCCTACATGCTCAAGTGCCCTGGGATTCAGATTTTGACAGAAGAATTCTCCAATTTCAAGGACCTACTGGTGGTTTATATAAATTCATAGGGGGCCATTAGGTCCACCAACAATTAATTTTTTTTAGAAATGGACTAAGCCAACCATAAAATTTCTTCTCAGACATCTATTTTAAAAAGGTACACTTAACTCACTAGCAGATTTATTCAACATAAAAATCACCAGGTATATTGGTAATTAAATTTAGGAGTATTTTTTGCAGATTATGTCAAAGTGGGGGCTTCCAGACATAGATCTCTCTGATTCCAGAAACAGGAAAGTGAAAGGACCATTTTCCCTATCTTTAAACCAGGGATCTTCTCTTATGGTCCACCATTAGTTCAATTTTTGGTGTGATGCATATGGACCACTCTCCTGCTGGTTGCTACTTCAATCTTTAAAGATGTCTACTGTATTAATGCACAGGCTACCATTTATGGCAATCATTTTTGCAATCTGTAGTAATCTGCTTATCTCTACATAATGTTTCTTCCTATAGTCTGTACATTGAAAACTTTTCCATAAAAACCTATTGAAAGTGAAAACCGGGATCCTCTTTGCCCTGTTACAGGAATGGAACTTCAAGCTACCTTACACATTTCTCCCTCTGTTGATTCTCTCCTTAGTGAATAAAATAATTTACACACAGAAGAAGGATAATTACCATGGTCCCATAAGGGCCAAAGAGATCATAGTTCCCAGTTTTATTATCTTTGTTGATAATCAAGGCCTATAATGGCATTTGAATCCTCAATAGTTCAGCTTAACAGCGTGGATCCTGAGTAGAGAATTCCTAAAACCAAAGAAAGTTCCGACAGCGCAATTACCACAAAATGATCACTTGTAAGATTTATGGTAAAACTTGGAAAGTATTTTGTAGTTGGTTTTCCAAGTTGGGGTACCATCAGGTCGATATCCCTAGCATCCTGAAATTTCAACAGGCAGGTGTCGAGAAAGGACTAGCTTTGGGTATTCAGGAGTAAGTAGCTACTTCATCTGTATATCTGCATTAACTAACTAGTGACTTATGTAATAGACACTTCCTCCTAGCTAGGACACTCTGTACACTCATTGCTAAGAAGCTGTATCTCCCTGGGATCTGACATTTGAAGAATTTTTTTTTTTCTTCCATTTTTAGAGACTCAACCCGGCCAATGTGCCAAATAAATTACTTTCTTTTCACTTATAATTCAAGCCAGAAAGATAGGGGATCTCTAAACCTTCTCCATTAAAAATCCCTATGTGTTGATAATGTAAAACAAGTCTATTTTGTGAACAGACCATATGTATTTACATTAGGTAGTATCTACATTTCACAGATTACAGGAGGTCTTTCTACCTACGTATTTGAAAACCCTGATAATCCCAAAGAAAAGGAATTACATAGACGCTATAAAATAATGTTTGTTAGAATATGTTTATAGAACAAGATCAATTCTTCCAATCATGTGCCATACTGATGGCAGCTTCTATCACCGAGGGACAGAGGTGAGGTGTGGCTCTTAATAGTTTTAGTTTTTGTGTTTCTCGTAGAAGGAGGACGCAATCATCTCAGGTAGCTGCCCATAAAGATTCTTAGAAAGATTATTACCAATAGGTCCAACTATAAGTATTAGTTTTAGATTGAGGATTGAGTGGGAAAGGGATAGAACTTGTGCCAGGTTTTCATTGCTGCCAGTGTCCCCACTGGGAAATTTCTACTGTCTTGCAAATGGGCACACAGGTAGTAACATAAATCTGATCACTCTCTCTATGAGTAAAAGTGCTTTCACTGCGGAACATGACCCTGTTAGAGAGATTCCCTGTACTTGCTGTCCCAGAGACACAACAGGAAGTAAGGGACAATCTACACAGCGGGAATGCAGATAGCAATACAGTCCTTACAGAGATTCTAACTTGCCCCACTTTATGGAAAATTAGAAATATTTTGGCTGGTACTATACTTAAAAGGATGTATCTATATTCACCAAACTAAACAGAAATTCTCTAGTTGTCTACACAAACAGGCATATCTGCCAGAACAGTAGTGTATAAACAAACAGTGAGGTCACTATGTAAAATGTTAGAATAAGCAATGAATTGTTATTTAATGTTAAATGAAGGTGGGCATTTCTATTAATTAACTCCAAGTAAGAAATACAGAAAATGATTAACAAAACAAAATTGATGGAAGACTACAATGGATAACCAGCAAGCTAAAAGTACCTTGTAATCATACACCTAAAAACAAACTACTCTCAGAGAGGGGACATTATCAAATTTTCCAGACTTCATTACATAAAGAGACTATTCTCCTAAAACAGAGATGAATGTCTCTAGTGTCACTATATTCTGGAAATTGTGCAGGTGAACCTAAACATTTTTGCTGCCTCAGAAGATTACACAGTTTGGCAAAGGAGATTTGGCAGCTTGGCAGTGCTTTGTGTTTCTATAATACCATTTTATTTTCTTAACTGTAGTGTACCTGAGATCTACCTAGAATTTCATAGTGGCAAATATCCTTCTTGTTCTATACAGAAAAATAGCTAACACTTGCTATAATTAAATTTTTTTAGAGCAGTCAAAAATATTTTTTTCTCAGGTTTGGAAAATAGTCTATAATTTGCATGCCTTAACAGGACCGCTATAACCTTTGTCACTGGGGCATTGGTTAGTTGTGCTGTATCTTAAAGCAGCTACCTAGGCTCTTTTGTTAGAACTTTGAGTTTCATAAATTACATTAATTTAGTTAAAATTGCATATAAAATTAGTGGCATTGTTAAACCCCCATTTCCAGCATACATCAGGTGGTTATATAAAACACATGGCTACTGGTTTATAGTAGATCCATTTTTGTCCAGCCACTGTTACCAGATCTGTCCTGGATAGCACCCAGTCATGTGATTATCACAAGCTGGGTGTCTGCTTCATTGAGAAGTTATAGGGCACTTCTGGATTGAAGGCCAAAAGAGGTCACAAATAGTACAACTTGTGTTTTCCAGGAGCTGGCACGGAAGACGCTGATATAAATGTTTCATCTGTGCATTACTCTTTATGACACAGGTGACAGTACTTATGTCCCATAATCCTCCAGGTGCAGGATGGTGAAGAGTTGACATCCAGCTCACTTGTCTTCACTGTCAGATGGGCTGGACTCACGGGGTAGAAGGTGCCGTCGACTTCTTTCCCATAGTCTGCTGACATTGGCAGTCTCTGTCTCACTGCTACTTGTGAAGCTGTCCCGAAAACTGGCCAAGGGAGGACGTACTTTTGCGCCCTTCTGAGTCACTGAGCCTTCTATGGCTTTACGGAGCTGAAATAAAAAGATTTAATCAAAGGGCTTGTTCACACTTGTCTGTATTCCTGCAGTCTAGCGATATGAAAAAGACAAAGTCGGACGTATCCATATATTCTGTATTTTGGAGTACAGTACACAGAAATCGATTCAAAGGCTATGGATTATATGCTGCTAACTTCAGGTGATTGGATACTGGCAAAGCTGCACTGGGTCTGCTGCCTAATGTTCCTCATATAACCCTGCCCACTCCATGAGGCTCTAGTTTTGTTAGCGAGCAATAAAGAGATCACAGAAAAGAGAGGGGAAGGACCTATGTGCTGTACTGTATTGTAAGATATAAAATTTAGAAGTATGTCGAAATTCCTCTTAACTCTACTGTACAGTACAGGACAAAGGAATTAATTTTTAGACAACAGGACGTCCAAGAGCAAGAACTGAGGTGTAAGCAACAATACAGCTAAGCAGCACTAACAGGGTCACAGAAAAAAAAAAAAAAACAGGCCCAAAACACACTGTTAACAGTAAAACCATTTAGCTGCTGGAGAACCTGCAGAGACTCAACAGCCACCTAACAACCATAGTTTAAGAGAAAGTGAAACAACATTTTCAGGCTCAAGCTAGTTCAGGCTCTAGGTCTTGTACAGTCCTCAGAATCCAATTTCAATGGGGGCATGGGCTCCGGTAAGGAAAGAGGGACTTGTTCCCAGATGGTGAAAGCCTTGTGAAAAAAAAGGAAGGCAATGACCACCCAGACACGGAGTAGAGCAGAATCCTAGCAAGGAATGAAAGACAAAAGAGGGGCAAGCCATACATCCATAGATATCATGCCTGACCCCTAACTCCTAAGGAAACGGAAGGCGAGACATCATGCTGGCTGTCAGGAAAATTAAGGTTTCAAGGGACAGCAAGAAACATGGAAGCAAGACCACCAGCCTCCAGCCTACCCAGTCCCCAAGTGGAAGAGGAGCTTGAGATAAAGGTACCGTTGCTGATGGAACCAGGGAGGAGATTTGGATCATATGAGGAGATCTCATCTTTTATGTATTCATGTAAAACCTTTATCCCAAAAAGGAAAAAATTGTTTGCTGGAACGGATTATCAAGTATTAGCTGGAGTTTGGCTTCAATTTGTTATTGTAGTCAAATCCGCTAATATATGTACCCTTTCCATCACCCTCTGAATGACAATGCTGCGGTCTGCTATGTCCTGTTCTCCTTCGTCCAGAGTGGTGTCTCACTAATACAGGAGGGTGTGTTACTGGCCAGATCACAGGTGAAAACAGAGGGGAAAAAAATATGTAGCCACCACATCTAAAGATTGGTAAGCTACAATATAATATTTTTGGATTTTGGGTTTAATACCACTTTAAATCCTTTTGGAGTAGGAAAGGAGACTAACACCCATTGTAGTGATAAGTTAGAATGGGGTTACAGAAAATCCTGTTCTTTTCCTAAGTTAATATAAATGGCCAAGAAAAAGAAAGAGAAGGAGAGTACAGCAATTTTGTGCACCTCCTTTAAAAGGTAGAGAGAAAGAAGATTTTTTTTTAGACTCTTTTCTAAGTTGGGGGTCAGTGTTAGTAGACTACCCCATCACCTCCATAAGCAGGGGTAGAACCTGTAACATGAGGAAAGATTTTTAGCAGATTTGGTGGGCTTAAAGAGGGAAGATTTGCCATGACTGGAAGGGACCCGCAGTAGATAAGTGTGCCTGAGGGAGCGAATAGATGTAATCCATATGGCAGGGGAGACATATTCCAGAGGGAACTGTGAAACTGAATAATGGGGTATGGACCCTCTCCAACTGGTAGCTGCCTCAATGTGTTCATTGAGGGAATAGCCAAAAAAAGCTTGCACTAGAAGAAAAAGAGAAGGTAATGCTGCTCAAGGTAGGCTCACCAATCCCACACTCAACAATCCTTCTGCGTGTGTGCTGGCCCAGTTTACACACCGGCGCAGCGCTTAATCATAATCTCTTATTAAGCGCTGAGGTTAGTGCAATACACATGAACCTTTTTTCCCCCACTGGCATACAGTATGATGAAAATAAAGACATTCTGGAGATCTGATGGATCAGGTTCTCCATGGCATTTACACAGAATATTAGGGCCAAAGGTCAAAGTTGTAACTTTGAATAAAGATTCAGATTACTTACCTCAGGAAAAAGTTAATTTATCCAACCCAAGCAGCCATAGTTTAGGCTACTGCTAAGGTGACAATAGCCTGGTGTAAGGTAGGACCTTCTAGTGCAAAGGAGGTTTTTAGAAGAGTTTCTAAATGTCTCTCAACTGAATTATTAATCATTGTACAAGGCCTAGAGTAGGAAAGGATTTTCCACAGAAGGTTTCTTTGAGCATATGGGGGCTGTATAGGCGTATCTATCCAGAGAGTAGAAAGCATTGCCTTGATCAATGAATCCAGAGTAACCAACATATGGTGAGAAGGTAAAGAAGGTAAATTATTAATTTCTGTAAATAGTGGTGAAGAGAAATCCCAAGGTGCCTCCACAAAAGAGTCTGCATTCCCTTTGGTTTGTGAATTTGTCCAGCAAATCTGTTTTTCGGGTAGAATTATAATAAAGGGAACTTGAGTCATTGGGTTACAGAGGTGTCAATATTAGATCTTGCTCCCGAGCTAGGGAACTACTAACCCCTTGAAAGTTTTCTCAGGGTCTCAGTGTTCCCACTCCCAAGTACCCGTAATCCTCCATTGCTAAGTGAGGTTCTTCTGCAAGATACTCATGGAACGGACATGCGGCAATCCAGATAATAACCAATATCCAAAGGCTGTTTCCTTTCGGATTCGGGCAATAGGGGGTGAGGCAAATAAAATATTAGATGTGTCGCGCTCCACTACTCAAATGTGTTTACAATACTCTCCCCTTCAAACGTATATAATATGAACATCTATACTAATTAATAATACATAATCCAAATAAATAAATAATTATTAATCCTTAGTGGTATAATTTAAAATTAAAACACCCCTTGTGCAAACCCTCTTGTGTTGTTGCCAAAATAATGGTGGCTAAAAGTGCACAGTTCAAAGTCTAATGGAATACCTCAGTAGCAATGGTTGGAAGGTGGATATAAATTCCAAATCTGAATAGGATAATGATATAACAAGAGAGACAATAAAGTTAGGGAAAAAACAACAAGAGTGCAAGAGCCGCTTGTGTGCAAAGCATTGCGGTATGTGTTGTAGGATAAGGATGTAGTGTATGCTAAAGAGTCATCAAGACATGTAAACCAGGAACTTATATGTAAAAAGGGTACAGGGAAACACTATCTTAACGTTCCACGTTGCTGGTTCCGATCAGGGTCCAGGTTTCGCCTATCATGGCAGGCATACCCTAAGAGGTATCTTCAGTGTCTGGGTGCCATAAAAGTGGATCACAACCTTGGATAACTATAGCACCCTGCCGGCTAACTACACCTGTTGTGCCACAGTCCAAGCTGAATGCCTAACACAGGATCCTATGGCCAAAGCAAAAATTACAGGCCAGGCCAGTGGCAGTGAGGTGAGAGTACAGTTCTCAAGGTGTGCACGAGGGTCTCCAAATTGGGAAATTGCTAAAAAGCCATTGAGACAGTAAGCAGTTAGATCTTGACAGAAGTGTTAGTCTAAGGAATTACATCTAATGAAGAATAGAAGGAAATTCTCTAAAAGGAGAAGGCATTCATCACTTAAGAGACACTAGCAAAAACTTAATCCTCACAGTGTGGGTGGAGTTATAGGAAACATTAGGGGGCGCAACAAGGGAAGCTTTTACCAGTGTCCAGTCACCAGATGATAGTGGCATATAACCAACAGTCTAGAATCAGTTCCTGTGTTATGTACTGTATGAAAAAATCCCAATCATTATTATATTGCTAGTTCACAGCTATGTACTGCAGCAAAGCATACTAAAAAGAAAAAAAATTGGGATGTAGTATTTTTGTGCAATGGAAAGCATTAAGCAGGCCTGTTGAAATAAATTTAAAAAAAAATGCATGTATCTGGAAGTTGGTCATTTAGATAAATATGCACTATGAAAAATTCATTTTCTCAATATTTCTCTCTCTCACCTAAAGTGCTTAACTCTCCCCAACAAAATAGAGGCATAAACATGCGTTTAAAAACACACAAAAATGTACAAAGTTAAAAATGACTTCCTAGAGTAGAACTATGACCTTCCAATAAAAAAAATGTGTGTTACAGTTAGCCTAAGTATAAGTGCATATGTATTGACAGCTTTCTCGTAGCCCCCTGTGAAGTCCCACAACAACCTGTGTCACCTGTCAGTGAAGTCTGCCTATTGCAACTTCTTGCAATGGTATGGCTCCTGGATTTAGAGCAGAGTTGCTACACTCATGTAGGCCATGATGAATGAAATGCATTATCACTGCAGCGTTTGGGAGGGGAAACATGTGAGACACAAAGGACAGAGGATTTGGTTCAGTCAGGGAATTTAAAGATTCTGTGATGGGGGGGGGGGGCACTTAATGTGATGAGGACTCTGATGTAGTGGGAGGATTCTAATGAGAAGGAGGAACTTCTGATGTGATTGGGCGACTGTGACATAAAAAGGAAAATGTAAAGTGATGGGAGAAACCAGATGCGGTAGGGGGCCTCAGGACTCGGACACAAAAGGAGGACCTTGGATGTGATCCGGGGAAATCTGATGTGAACTTGAAGTATATGTCACCCAAATATTTCATACTTCTGATGTATTCTTTGCATTGTTTCCTTTGTGTGAAATACTTGGTGATCATGCCAGCTTTCCTTCTTCAAACTGACAATGCCAACACATGGAAGCACATCCAACTGACCAGCGTGGTCAGTTTTTTCTTTGTATTCTACCTGGCTGTACTCCAGTGGTCAGACTTCTGCTGACAGCCGCCTACACAACTCCTCTCTGGGAAGATCAGTGTCCTGTTTCTCTGGTCGCCCACCCTCCACCCCTCAACGTTCCATATGCAGCTGAGAAGAGAGGTCATGTGATCACTTATAAATGAAGAAAAAAAAATGTAGGTATATACAATGTGTGTGTGTGTACACACACACATACACACAAACATTGTGCCTTACATTTCTATTTTAAACTGAATGGGTTGTTTTACAAGGCAAATGATCATGTATACTTTCATTTCATCACGGTGGTTGTGTGCATCATTGCATTCATTGTAACATTTATGTTTTTTTACATTTTAACCGGGGTCGTTTCAGATCTGGTATGAAAAAAGGTTGAGAAATGCTTGTTTAGTCTGTCACAGGATTCAATTCTTATCAGTGCTATAAACATGTCTTCTCTCTTACATTTCTTCTTAATGGCACTTACCTCTCTTAATGTTACCATCCCAATCAGTCTCCCAATAGAGGTGACATATGCATGGTCCATTCCAAGCAATGAGAAAATAGTGTGAGCCTAAGAAAGGAGAACACCATGAGAATTTTATATGTGCAAAATGCAATTACCCATAGAAACCACTGTTCTGACCGCTCAAATGATGAAAAAGTAAAACTCTTGTTTCCAAGGACTGATTGAATATCAAGATTAATTGCAATGCCTTGTTTGATGGCATTTAATACAGGATAAGCTTTATATCATTGCTGTGGTACTGTACTTTTTGTTTTATATACCTGGTGGCCAAGCCAGTTCTTAAAAAAAAAAAAACAGTACATACATAGGTCTACATTAAAAGTGATATTAAAGGCTCAGGTTTATAAAAAAATAAATCTCATATGTACCTCCTCTATTTAATGGTTCATACAGAGCAGCCCCGACCCTCCTCATCTTGGGTCCCCTGTTGGCGCTCCTGGCCCCTCCCCCATGCTGAGTGCCCCCAGAGCAAGTTGCTTGCTCTAAGGGCACTTGTGTGCGTGCTCGCTCCATATCTACACTCTGTGTCAAGAAGACACACACACAGTGTGGCTCAACCCCTCCCTCTGCTTGCTCCCCACTGGCTGTGATTGATAGCAGTGGAAGCCAATGGCTCCCGCTGCTGTGTCTCAGCCAATAAGGTGAGAGAGACCCGGGAGAGCCAAGGCTCCCGTGCACAGTGCTAGATTGAGATCTGGCTCAGATAAGTATTAGGGGGGGCTGTGGGGGCAGCAGCAGACACTTTAAGCAATATATTTTCTGAAAGCCAGAGTCCTGCAGAATTAAAATATTTGATTTTTTCTTGCATCATAAAGCAATACTACAAATGTTTGGAAAATTTATAGTTTTAATAACAATTACACATAGCCTGCTACTGACAAAAAGGCACAAAGTACATACACACATTTAGGCGCGAGTCTGAAAAACAATGGAAAATTACTGTATGGAAAAAGAACATAAACCAACATTACTATCTACGACCAAATGTATACCAATACATTTTTTGTTAATGGACACAGATAATTATTAAAAGTAGACTATTATGGGTGCGGTCTACCTCTATGAGTCCAAAATATGTATAGTACACAAGCGTATTATGTGGGTATGTTTGCCACCAAAGTGTGACCATTCACAAAGGCTCTCTTCAGATGGGAATTTATCCCTTTGAAGTGCCAAACAGTAATCAGTAACCATCAGGCTCATATTTTGCTACAACCTCAATTCCAAAAAAGTTGGGATGCTGTGCCAGAGTGGAAAGTCAGCTTTTAGGGCTGTGAAAGAATAAGTTACTGTCCAGAAGCCTGAGGCAAATTTGCTCCTTTTTTTAATCGCGGTGAACAAAAAAAAAAAAAAAAAAAAAAACAACCATAACTGTACAAAAAAGGCAAGTGAACCACACACCAAAAAAAGTGCACTTAAGGGAGCGCCATTTGTCCACCCCGGAAAGGGGTAGGATCTTACCCTGAATCCCCGGGGTGCAAAGCTCCTGACAGGGGCAAAGCTCAAACATGGTACACCTAGCCAAAAGGCCTGGGGGACCCCTCTCCTCATGGTCATCCGAAGCCAACCAAAGAGTACTAGGCGAGGGGCTCTCCCAAAAGAGACCCCCGGTTGAGGGGTGGAAGGAACGTAATAGCCACACATCCTCCCCCCTAGACTTCAAGGTAGGCCCAAGGACTCCCAGCCTCTACACCAGTGAAAAAGACACAGACAAAAGTGCAGGGTGGCAAAAACATGAGTGAAAAAATAAATTCATATTGCCTGTGCTAGTGCTAAGCCCTGAAGCCTGCTAGCTAAAACAATCGCCCCAGACTTAGCCTCTTTGGGCTAGGCCTTTTCGCTAAGTGCTGACAGGGTAGACCCCTGTCAGACCCCTTTGAAGCGGTCTGACAGGGTAGACCCATTCAAATCAGGTGGCACTGGGCACCTCCATTCTTCCCAGGGGAGTTACTCAGGTAACTCAAGTTACTCTTACCATACCCCACATCTGTGGGTGCCCCCCCGGTTTCTGCTCCAGCCGGTACTAGCCTTCAAAGTCCCCACAATACCAGCAGGGATATTGTATGGCCAACCATTCCTAACATAAAGCCAGAATGGCAACGGACCCTCCCTAATGGAAACTGATATTAACTAATACTACACTTGATCTTAGCCAAAAGGCTGATAAGCGATGAGGCAAATGTGGTTGTCTGTACCAATATGGGTGAAATTAGACCAGCTGATTTTATGAAACCAATGTTGCATACAGATGATATCAAAGATTTCCTGTTTGCCTTTGAGAAAGTTGCTGTGTGTAGTCAATGGCCCATCTACTGGTAGTTTTGCGCAATCGACTGGATGATTGCCTAAAGCAGCAACAATGAAAAGTTTAGAGTGAAAAATCTTCTGGAAGATGATTGGGAAAGTCAACAGTTATCAGTTGAGAAAAAGCCATCTCCCCTAGGAACCGGTGGGTGGGTGTGTCGCTGAGAGTAAAAGCTTGAATGGAAGTGCGGCTCAGAGGTGATAGAGATGGGAGTATGTTTCAGCATGCCGGGAATTACCAATTGAAAACTCAGTCTGTACTGTCCTTGGTATGTTGCCAACAGGGGCAAAGTGTTCTAATATCCTTCTGTTGTGGAATTCCACAGAATATACTGCTGCTGAGCAAAAGTGTATCTACAAGCTCAGTCTTCTGTACAAAAGCATCTGCAGTCACATCTGGCTACTGTGGGAAATTTCAGTTAAACTTGCAGGGGGTAACAATGCGCATGGAATGGCAGCTCCAAAAAGGAAAAAAGGAGACAGTTTCCTTGCAACCCCAAGTGCTCCCAAATAAAGAAGGTAAAATTATCGATAAGTGGGTAGAATTTTTTTTAACCCCTTGCCCTCATGAGGATTTACCCCCCTTCCTGACCAGGCCATTGTTTGCGTTACAGTGCTGCATTATTTTAACTGATAATTGTGCGGTCATGCAACGCTGCACCCAAATTAAATTTACGTCCTTTTTTTTTCCCACAAATTGGAACTTTCTTTTGGTGGTATTTGATCACCTGAGTGTTTTTTGTTTTTTTTATTTTTTGCGCTATAAAAAAAAATACCGAAAATTTTGAGAAACAATATTTTAGAATTTTTGCCATTAAACATGTACAGTAAAAACATTTTTATAAAAATATAATTTATTCATAGATTTAGGCAAAAATGTATTCTGCTACGTCTTTGCTAAAAAAAAAAAAAAAATAAAAAATCCCTATACGTGTAAATTAAATGGTTTACGTGAAAGTTATAGCGTTTACAAATGGCGGTATAGATGCTGGAACTTATCATTTTTTTTACTAGTAATGGCGGCGTTCAGCAACTGCAGCGGCATTCTGACACTGGGGGGAACCAACATCCCCAGTGACACTATTGGCATTGGGCAGGATGGGGTTAACATGAGGGGCTCATACTCGGGAGAAGTAGCAGAATGTATTTTAGGGAGTAACTCCACATATACCCATGGCATGTGTGAGCAGGAATGTGAGAATATTCCATTGACTCAACATGTTTCTCAGCAAATAGTCTGGAATGTCTACTTTCCAAACAGGGGTCATTTGGGGGGAGGCGGTTTGTGCTAACCTGAAATTTCAGGGCCTCTGAATCTGTGATAGGTAGTGAGGAAGTGAAATGAGGAAATTGCTTACTTTCAGGCTTTCAAAGGGGTCATTGGGTTTCGGGCTCATGTATACATCCAGGATCCCAAAAAGTCTTCCACATGGGGTATCCCCATACTTGGGAGAAGTATAATGTATTTTGGGGTGTAATTCCACATATACCCATGGCATGTGTGAGCAATATATAATTTAAGTGAGAACTCTGTGCATAAAAAAAAAAATTCCAAAAACTTGTGGTATTGACTCAACATGCCGCTCAAATAGTTTGGGGTGTCTACTTTGCAAAAAGGGGTCATTTGGGGGGGGGAGGGGGGAAATTGTGCTATCCTGGAATTTCAGAGCATTTGAAACTGTGATAGGTAGTGAGGAAGTGAAATAGGAAATTTACACACCATTAGGCTTTAACTCTTCTAACCACTTGAAGACCTAGCCTTTTCTGACACTTTGTTCACATGAAAAAAAATCTGTATTTTTCATTAGAAAATTACTTTGAACCCCCAAACATATATTTTTTAAAGCAAATGCCCTAGAGAATAAAATGGTGAGTACCTGCGCAGCAGTTTTTTTTAAACGCAAAAAACCCCCACTTTTTTTAATTTTATTGCACAAATACACAATATATTGGGCAATTGTTTGTTAAAATATAAAAGATAATATGCCGAGTAAATAAAAACCAAACATGACATGCTTTAAAACTGCGTACACCCTGTGCAATGGCGACAAACTACATACATTTTTAATATCTATAGGCGATGTTTTAAAGTCTTTACAGACTACCATTTTAGATTTACACATCAGGTCTAGTGCTGGAATTACTGCCCTTGATCTGACATTTGCGGCGATATCTCACATGCATGGTACAACCGCTGTTTACATACTAACACGGGGCTGTGAAAGGCAGTGACAGGTACTCTTTCTGGAAAATCTGGGGTCTATTAGACTCTAGATATCTCTTCTTCCCTTAAATAATCTGATCTCACCAAGATCGGTGTGATCAGATGCTTTCGTGATTTTAAAATGGTGCAGTTTACATCTCGTGAAACTGAAGTGAGCAAATGCTTATAGCTTCTGGTTTCTTAGATTATAGAGATGATTAGAGCCATTCCAATCTCCAATCAGCTCTATGGGGTCAGCTGGCGGAAACGCCGTCTGTATTCTCAGGTTCCCTGGTGGCACAGGACTGCCCAAGAAAGCCGTGAAAGGCAGCAGGGGAGCATCTCCTCCCGCTGCTAAGTTTGCTTTTACATGAAAGCCGACTGCCGGCTTTAAAAAAAACAATACTGGGATGATGCCTGCAGCTGCAGGCATCATCCTGGTATAACCACTCAAAATCCAGTGATGTACCAATACATCGCTGGTCCTTGTTGGGCATTTATATGTTCTTTTTGTATTTTTTTATGCAGCCTGTGGGCT